GAATAGTTTTGAACACAACTGTAGGTGTTGTGACAGGCTACTCTTCGGTGGTGATAGTTTCCTGACTCTGCAAAGTCAATGAATTAACCTTTGACGTAAGTTCAATCGTTTGCCCATATAGGTTTATATACATTTATATATATTCTATGTCTGGCTTATCTTTAAAAATACACGTACACTGTTTGTTGATATCACTGAATGAAAAGTGCAGTAAAAACGTGCTGATTCCTTCTCTATTAGAGAATTAATTATCACATTGTTAAAAGAACAAACAAGCATTTATATAACATTGAGCGACTATCAGTTTGTCATTATCAATAGTCTTTTGTCTCCCTGTGGTCAAATTCCTGCGTCATTCAAACTAAGTGTGTCTTCTTAAGTTCGGGAAGAGGATTAATCCTGCCTGTAAATACTGTGTGGTTATGGTACGCTGCAGCAGGATATGTAAACTTGCTATCGTGTATGCAAACCCCGCCTTGTCATGCACATAGACTTTTATCTCTACGCACCACAGCAAGAGCCGAACATTAGCCCTGCTGCTGCTATTGACAGACAGAAAGGGTTGAGTCACCAGGTCTATATTACAGGTGACTCCAATTTGAATTGGAATAAAAAGTTGGTCTGAGCAAAGTGGAAGGAAGTGTTCATTGAAACGGGTTTCAATAAACTAAACTAAATTTGCTCAAAAAATACCATGCAACATGAAGTTGTCATAAAAACACACTGACTTGTCTATGGTTTGGACAGCTGCTATAACCTTTAACAAAGGTTTGGAGAGAAAATAAAGGTACAGCTTGTAGATTCCACAAACACCAAGTATGCAAACCTTTTTTATACTAGTGCATGTTGCACGAAACTTGGACTTGTTATGAGCATTTGAAATGTTTAAAGACACATTTTTAAAACCTCATCACTAGGCGTTTGTCCATTTAACTTTTAATTGTATTTTTTATTTCCTAAATTGAGTTCATATTTGAATTTGTTTACTGACCTTAACGTTTTAAATGCATTTCTTTTTCTTTTCATACGTCATTTATTACAGAGCATATTCTGAAACCAGGAAGTTTTTTCTGATCTTCTTCCTGGACTTGTGTTATTTTTTTGCTCTTTGGTCATTTAATCACAGCAGTAAAATGTCAAAGCTGGAGTGACATTTCATCAAACATACAAATCCCTCACTGTCTCAGTGTGACATTCTTCCTGTCAGGATTTTGTTCTGTAAAAGAAGGAAAACAGAATTGTCTCTGTGTCTTTTGGCTGACAGAGTGGGTGTCCTCAGAGAGCAGCTGAATGATGGAAGCAGCCCTCAGACACTTTTACTGCCTCCTTTAGTTTCATTGCTCTAGTCTCTCCCTTCCTCTCTCCCCACTAGTGTTTTTTTCCTATCAGTTGTTTACCCTGTCGGTCTAGTTTTGGATGGCTAGAGGTGTTGAAGATCAGTTTAACTTCCACACACGCACATATGCATACACCTCCTGTCGTTTTATAAACACCTACAGTCGTTACCATTTATACAGTCAATGAATAAATTGACTGTTATGATGTGTGTTTGTACAACAATCTCCAACTCAGTCGGTCAATGATGGCAGACAATTGTTGTTGTCACGCTTCAAACAGAGGAATCAGATTTCACTGAAGTGTAATCACAGGTATAGTCTTACACCTCACTATTGAATGTAGCACCGACACAAAGAACCAGAGCCTATTTAAATTAAAAATAATCCCATTTCTCAGAAAGTAAACCAGATTTAGAGATGCCCTGAAAAAGACAACCATGATTAATCCACCTTTTAAGACATCTGCAAGTTAATTTGATGTCTTAGTCACCCTAGCCATATCAGACTTGTTACTCCACTGCTGGGATGTTAGTGGTGTTCCCCAGAGATACAGGTTAGCTTGGATGAAAAACAGGGGCGTTCTTTGTCAGCTGTGACAGGGACAAACAAGAAAAGGTGGGTTGTTGTATGGTTTTTTTTTTATGTTTTGTTTTCTATGTTGCAGGGTGAAGGCTCAAGTGATGATTTGTATTGTTTAGAACCAGTAATCAATACCCTCTTCAGTCTCCAGGCTAAGAATTCTATACTGGGTGTCGCTACAATGCTGTAAATGTGTGATTGTAGCTGATGTCTTGACGGAGGCCTGGGTGGAGACATGACAGGAGAGAACAAGACAAACAAGTCCACATCAAAACTACAAAACTAACTAAATTTTTTCTGCATGTTCTACTGCTTGTTTAAAAATACTATACATATAGAATATAACACTATACATAGCAGACTTTGTGACAGTGATTAACTCCTTTCATGTACGTATGTGTTTCTTTAGTCCAAGAAACCTATTGAACGTACCGGTATTGTAAAAATGGTTTTGTCTATGTTTTCTCTGGATCCTTCACTACTGTTTGCACACACCAGTGAGGGAAGCAACTTGACGCCAGCACATCACTACCCTGACTTCCGCTTCAAGACCTACGCTCCACTGGCATTCCGCTACTTCAGAGATCTTTTTGGCATCAAACCTGACGACTACCTGGTAAGACTCCGATGTGGCCTCTACTTGTTGTCATATAATAAATCAATCAAACTTAGGCCCACTGTGAATTTGAGTTTGACACCCCTGACTTAGTGGGTCTTACAAAGTTTTCCCATAAAAATACATACACGCAAACACACAGTATGATGAGTGTGTCTTTGCCGTGAAATGACTACAAACAGACAAGGCTTGAGTTCAAGGCTTTTCTGTGATGCAGCAGCTGCAGCATATACCTCCACTTAAAATATAGCATTGTTATAATAAACATCCATATATCAATACCAAGTTTAAGTTTCCTTTTACTCCCAGCTGGCTTTCCAGCCTTGACCTTTACAGGAAAGTTGAGATTTCTATAGAAGCATCAACGTCACATTAAACGATCAGATGTTTGTATAGATACAGTCCTATAGTATTGGAAGCTGCAGAAACAAAGTATGCCAACAGAAGAGAGCAAGTTGTAATGACTATAAATATGATCAAACAAACAAATATAAATTCAGAATAATTGTTTTATTTAATTGACTTTCATTATTTTTCTGTTTCTTTGGTTAATATATTTTGTTGAATTTGTCCACAGTACTCCCTGGTTAATGAGCCTCTCATAGAGCTGGCAAACCCAGGAGCCAGTGGCTCACTGTTCTACCTGACCAGTGATGATGAGTTTATCATCAAAACTGTCCAGCACAAAGAGGCCAGGTTTCTCCAGAGATTGTTACCTGGCTACTACATGGTGAGAAAACATTAATGATTCTCCATAAGGCATTGGGCACCATTACACAGTAGAAAAGGATATTACAAGGATACTGTATATACAAGTTTAGGGTGTTTTTGTATAACAATGGGAAAACTTACTAAATAGTCATGCGTGTGTGCCCTTTGCATTTGAAACGTCTGTAAAACACTGGAAGTAGGTGAGGTCCTGGTACTCAACACAGCCCTAAAATAAAGAATGATAAACAGCAGTCATCACCAAAAATAGGAAATGTCATAAAAGGCTGCATAAATGCACATGGTTGTGAATAAGTGACTGTTTATAATTATATATTTATTATTATTATTATATCATTGACCATTTCAGGTACAGCCTGTTAAGGATGTGATTTGCCATGACATTGATAAAGAAACAAAATGAAAAGATAACCTTCTAGTTGTTAAAAAAAAAAAAGAAAAACAGTAGGGGAGACCGGTTGTAACATGGGGAGAGTTGTAACACCACCAATTCCACCAATTAGGGATAAGATAGGAGTTATATGATAATTTCAGTGTTTACCCACTTCCTCCCCGATCCCACATGGTGGTTGTCAAGGTTGGAAACAGGCGCATGCAGATTCTATAGAGAAAAAAATGATTTTTAAGTAAGAAAGTACATTTTTGACCAAGACTATATTTTGTTTAGTATTTATACTATTGTACATAAAACCATATGACTTTACATTAGATTCAATTGAAATTAGATTTCAAACCATTATGCTAATACAGCTAGCTAAACAATGACTGACAGAGGTGGGGTGTGTTGTAACACATCTTTAAAAAGTGTTAAAACTATCCCCTTACATACGACTAAGAACACTTTATTAATTTTAATAAATTTTACAGAATGCCTAGGCAGTGGACAAGAAAGACTGAGGTCTGCCTGCAAATGTTTTTAAAAAAAGAGTCTGATGAGGTCACAAAGAAGGGCAAGTCAGTCAGATCAGTTGCGAAGGTACATGAAATCTGCCATGTAACACTGAGCAGAAGCTGAGAGACCAGGGGTCCATTGATCTTCCCAGTATAGGTTACTGAAGCAGCAAAAGTTTTCTCTGAGGTCCAGAAGAAAGTGTTGGCTGAGGCAGCAGACCTGTATTATGGACTGACTCCACGTGAGGTAAACATGTGACAGGTTAGTCACTGGAGACCAGAGAAGAACTTTTTGTGTCTATGTTCTCAGGTTTTCCAGTCCACTTTCTTTTAGCTTCGACATTTTTCATATCAACTGGCAGTTATATATAACATCAAACACCCACAAACATCGGATGAGAAGCAGATGGCAGGGCCTGACTAGTTCACATTTTCTATGAAGCGGACCCCCAGCCTCTTTTTACAGCATGTCGCATGGTGTGACCTCTGTTTTTGCTTCTTTTGTCTAACTGTTACAACTTATCCCAGCATGTGTTACAACCTCCCCCAGTAATGGGGGAGGTTGTAACAAAGGAACTCCGTGTATTTGACATCAACTTACGAGGATTGTGATATTCTTGCAGAGGTTTGAATCGATGCCATTTGTAGTAAACAAATGTGGGTGCAAAAAGTGTTACAACCATACCCGGTCTCCCCTATTCAGTTACAGTTGCCTGTTCCCTTTAACTTTATTTATATATCTATATTTTTTTTCTAATATATTATCCTGTGGCATCCTGTTCAAAACATTGTGAGTCAGTGTTTTGTTTTGTCCTCTTTTCCTCAGAACTTGAATCAGAATCCACGCACCCTGCTGCCCAAGTTTTACGGCCTATACTGTATCCAGTCGGGAGGCATCAACATCCGCCTGGTGGTGATGAACAATGTTCTGCCCCGCTCCGTCAAGATGCACTACAAATACGACCTAAAGGGATCGACCTACAAGAGACGGGCCTCTAGAAAGGAGAGGGAGAAAGAATGTCCGACTTACAAGGACCTGGACTTTCAGGACATGCACGAAGAAGGGCTGTACTTTGACGCAGAGACGTACAACAACCTGATGAAGACGCTGCAGAGAGACTGCCGGGTATGTGAGCTAAGAAGTGTGTTTACTGTATATTGGGTGTTTCTGCTCATTTGGTTACTGTTATTAATCAACCATTAATTAGAGAATCGAGTTATATCTTTTCAATTTCAGATTACATTAATAAGGCCATATTCTGTCTTTTTTTGCTCACTTCAGTTTAGTTTTGCAGAGAAAGAAATACACATTCAATGGCTAAAAGAGAAAGAAGCTCAGTCTCAACTGACTACAGTACTGCACCTACACCACATGGTGTGCTGGATCAGGATAGTGTCTGTGCAGCTTAATGGCAGAAACTGTTTTGATAAGACAACTTTCCATGTGTTTGCCTTTTGGTCTACAGTGTTTCCTCTGTGTGTTCATTCTCAGTTGCCATGGGTCCTGTTCCCCTCTCACTGTGTGCTGCTATGTTTCAGGACATGACAGCTCTCCAAACCCTGCAATGCAATAAGGTCATGATCCTGGTAGCAGCAGACTAAATTCAAAAGGCTAGCAGGCTTTTTATTTTATTTTATCCTACAGGCTGGGTGGTTACAGAATAGAATAGAGTCACGGTTACAGTGTGAAACAGCCAGAACTGCCTGAATAATAACCAAAGCTGAACTGAATACTGAACCAACATCATTGAGATGTTAATCTCATATAGATGACAATTTATTAATTAATTGATAATGGGCTATGAGATGCTATTATTTCATTAATTCTGCACAACAAAGGTATCTCTCCTCTCCTCCAATTGGCATATCTAATTTGTATATAAATCTCATAAGTAATTAACCTAAAATGGGTATTATCTTGAATCAATTTTACTGGTACATAAAATAAAAATGTGGATATTGATCATTTATCTGTGATAAAACAAAGTTGTTTTTTTGTAAAAGGAATAAAGCGTACTCACCTTTAGAGAAAATATGATTTTTGCTTAGTGTTCTCCTGTAGAGTGTGCTAAGGAGAACTTCTTAACACACGTTTTCATATTAAGTAAAGTTATTAGTCTTTATTTATGGTTTAAAGATTATTACAAAAAGAGGAAATGTTTATTTCTGTTCTCAGTTTTTTTTCAGGGAACTGGTGTAAACAGTCATTATCACCTGTTCCTTTCCCACCCTTGTCAAGTCAAACAGAGTCCTGCTCATAAGCCTTTAAAAACAAGTCTTGGTAAAACGTAATTATCATACTAATTCAGAAAAACTGTGTTTTCCTTCATATTGTTTCTTCTTCCATCATCATTGATAAGTATGCTGAGTTTCTGTTTTCTTTTGTCTTTGTTTTCTAAAGACTGAAGCCAGAAAACAACCTCCTCCCTTTTTGCTAACTCAGTGTTTCCTTAATGTTTAACCTGGCAGCACATGCACATTTACAACCTGCTCCAAATGTCCCAATAGACTCTAACTGCCAATGTGTTTAGACTTTCGCTGTACATATTTTTTGGTAGTTGTTGTTGTGTATCTATCTGTTTGTGAAGGATAGTGTTACTGTAAGCAGGAGCTGTCAGAGATTCTGCATTAAGTACTTTGTCAGTATTGTCATGGCTTCCTGCCTTAAACTCAAGAGTGGGATGTAAAGTGTCCTCTAAGCAGAATCGCTGTCCATTTTCATGACTAAGCAGCTAACCTCTGTCACACTATGAGAGGCCGCTGACCAAACCATAGAGTTTGAGTTGGCTAGAGACGAGCAGCACGGGGTGAAGGGAGTGGACGCGATGGCTGTTCTGTGAAAGGACATGAGGTGAAATGTATGAGTTGGCTTTTTTGTTTGGTGTGCGCTGATAATATTTTTACTTCTTGGAAATATAAAAGGTCAGAGTTCAGTTGAAGTTGAAGCAATGGTATTAGGATTTTTCATAGGCTTTGATAAAGAACAAGTCCCTTTTTTTTACTAACTTCTAAATCATGGTCTCTCCTGATTCCAATACTTAGTATTGACCATTGTTGAGTGCCTGCAGTAAATTTCACCATCTTAGATTTCTCAGTCCCTTCAGTTCTTTCCACATTCACACAATTTCCAATTTGGATGTGTTATTTGGGTAACATGCTTCTCTTTTCCTTGAATTAACACAGATTGTATCCCAAAAGCAATGAATTCCATTTTTCTTTCATGTCAAATTAAAATACTTTCAGCATCTAATCTTATTTAATCTTATTTAATGAGGACCCAGGAGGCCTCAAAACTAGCTACATTCCAAATAGGGTAGGGTTGGCGAAGGGAGGTGGGGGTGGGGAGGCACTTGACATGCTTAAAATATACCAAACATTCTTTTCTTCTAAGTTTTTTGTTTCCAGGCAGCTGAAAAGATAACTCCCTAAATGTCAAAACAACTCAAAACACAGAGCATCAGTAATTCATGTAGATATTTTCTATAGAGAGGGAGGCAATAATGGGTGATTGTTGTGTGGTTTGCAAGAGATAAGAGCATCACACTCATTTTGCATTCCTTCTGCTGCTGCTGACGATGAGGCTGAGCTGTTAAGACAGCTATTTGTTCTCATCACTCATTTGACCAGAGAGACTTTGTCATCTGAGGTATAGGCTGGACTAAAAGACAAATAGGCTTCCAATCTCTGACAAAAACTGCAGAATCAGATATACACACATGCGCACGGTGGACAATAATGGGTTGCATAGCAGCAAGTTTAACCAATCACATACAAGCATTTACTGTGAGCCCCCCATCCTCCGGGCCATGTGATGCTGTGACAACAATAGCTTCTCTCACTCTCAGCTGCAGAGAACCAACGCTGTGACCTTGCTCTCAGAAGCCAAAGAGGCTTCGGCATGATCCACAACCACATTCACATCACTGTTAAAGCTGCACACACACACACACAAAACAATTCCTTGCATGTACTGTATACATAGGTCCCTATCTATAACTAAACACAGAAAAATGTGATGTGAACTTGTTCATGTTCACAGCCTCTGTGTCTTACTTTGCCCAGTCTGCAGTTAAACGTGACAGAAGTTAGACCAGGCATAGTCAAAATACGGCCCGGGGGCCAGATATGGCCCATTTGGCTTTTTAATCTGTGTGACTGGAGCAAAGCAATGTTTTTTTTAAAATTATTTCTAGTTTTGTTTATTGATTAATTGTAGCTGTGACGTTGTTTACTGTTCACTATAAATGTTTACAATAAAAACAACTTACAGTAGCAGAAAAAAAACTGAACTGGGCAGAGAACGAGGTGCCAAGGCAAGATACTTAAACATTGGCTGTCATAACCAAGGGCTATTTTTCATATAATATCAGGATATATATTATAATTTCTCCTGCCACTGAAACAGGATTTTTTTAGGTTCAAAAAGAAAATCTGTAAGAACATAGATATGCATCTATTTTCTGTCTAGTGCAAAGGTTTGATTGTAGGCCTGGGAAAACTGGAGCCAAGACACAGTAATGGCCTTCTGTAGGCAGCCTGTCTGTTAGTGTGTCGACATGGTGTGTGTGTGTGACCATTGAAAATGGTTGCCGTATGAAAAAGCTGGGGGAGTTTTAGTGAATTGTTGATATGGAACGGGCAAAGCTCAGACAAAAGCCCCAGTGTGTGAGTCGATCATTAAGACTGTTCTGTGTTTGTGCATGTATTAATGTGTATAAACAGGACTTTATACACTCGTCAAACCAACTGTAGCTTACACCATAAATGTTTTCTATTCACTGAAAACAGCATCAGAAAAACACCAAGAAAAAGATGTGAGTCAGATAACAGAGAGACAGAGGATTTTCTCAGACAGCTGAGAGTTCTGTTTGACAATTCATTAGGAAATTCTCCCTTACAAATTGTTGTCAGATCTTTTTGCACCAGCAGCTATTGCAGCTAAATTGCCGTTTCACATCTTTACAGTCTTTCTCCTGAATTATTTAAGGTTACAAACTATCAGTAACGTGTTTTTTCACTAAGCTGGCTTGTAGAATGTGTTGAGAGTTGATTTAAAAACCTTGGAGAAGCCCCTGTCTTCAATAGTATTAATCATTCTGCACATTTTTGGTAGTCATAGTTAAATAGGAGAGAATTCAGTAAGGTTGTTATGTAAATGAAGGTTGATTAAAAAACATGCTGATATATAAATAGGAATCAGTTAAACTACTTTTTTCCAGACTCAGTCATAAGATAAACCTGAGTGACCTTGACCCCAGTCCACTGACCCAGGTCACTTTCTCAAGCTGCCCCTTGTCTTGCCAACAGACTACTTGAGCTGTGGAGACATAAAGTCAGTGAGTCTCTGGGAATCCGCTCCAGAGGATCCTCAGACAGGTTACTGTGTAACACTTGGCTCACTCTGAAGAAACACCTCGTTTATTTAACTCAGAACTGGTTTAAACCAAGTTTTATTTTGCTCAGTCCTCAGTCTACAATGTGTTTGTGTTTTTCAAAACAGATGCTTCACCGCAGCAGTGCACCCGGTTTGGTTAATGGCCACCTTTAAAAGGGTTATATAAATAACATATTTGTTCTCATAAAAACATGTCTTTCATATGTCGTGTCCCAGGTTTTGGAGAGTTTTAAGATCATGGACTACAGTCTGCTCCTCGGTGTCCACGTCCTGGACCACACTCAGAGAGAGGAAGGCGAGTCAGGCCAGGCGGGGGGTGATGGTAGGAGACCTGTAGGTCAGAGGGTTCTGTACTCCACCCCCATGGAATCCATCCAGGGGGACGGCAAGGCAGCTGAGGCACTGAGCACAGATGACACGTGAGTGGAGGAAAACACACACCCATTATTAACACATACATTCACACTGACACGCACGTACTGTTTTTCCATAACAGACATTAACACAATTGTGCTCTCACCTCACACACAGACAGATTTTCAAAAAACCAACAACAATAATACAAAATATTTTTTTCTATTTGAACTTTGCTTTAAGCAGTGCTGTTTAGAAACAGATGCCTTATATGACTGCTGGTGTGTTTCATCTCTTCTTTAGAATGGGTGGCATCCCTGCTAAAACACACAAAGAAGAAAAGCTGCTAATCTTCCTGGGCATTATCGATATCCTACAGTCATACAGGTACCATGTTTCAGGTGGTTGGTTTATTGCTGACTTTTGGGGCCATTAAATGCTAAGTGAGCAACAGACCAGCCTGCCTGTATTTCTGCTAAAAGTCATCAATATGTGAGCGCTAAAAGGGAAGTTCATTGAGAGTTCAGCTTGACAGCAGTTTCTGTGAGGCTGCAGTGACTGATGTCTGACCTACGACAAGACCTTTTACAGTTGAATCATCGTCCTGCATTGATTCAAGGTGCTACAGGCCACTTTTTCTAAACTCCTTGAAGGAAGACTGAAGACTCTTCTTCTATCCAACACTATTTACATAGACAGTGTGTTCTGTCTTCGTTTTATACACATTTTTTTCATCGTCAGAGTGGGCATTGAGTCAGTAGCAGGAAGCGCTCTGGCTCATTGCTTAACCAAACTAAAAGCATCATACAAATCATTAATTGTAATCAAAAACAAATGTTTAGTAAGGCATATAACATCACTTTATACTGCAGAAATCTGACTGATTTTATTAAGTAGGGATGTTAGTCCACGTTACTAGGTTCTGTCTGTACAAAAAGATAAATAACAACTTTTTGGTCCAACATACAGCAGTAGAAAAGTTGTTATTGTTTGTGAAAGCTGCTACAGTGCTTTGTTAGTCGCCTTCAACATGCTCAAAATGTTGTTGCAAATACAGTGCATTACGAACTGGTTTCATATACCGAGAACCCACTGCACATGTTTAACTCAGTCCAAAGTAAGTCAAAAAGTTCTAACACATATTTTATATTTATATTTTTTGTATTTTAAAATGTGTATGAGTCTAAGAACTTAAACATGTTAGGGCCAATTTAGAAAACAAACTCTGATCTAGCACCATCTGTCATGTTCAAAATGTATTTTTTTTAGAAAAGAAACTAGATTTCAAACCTTAGACATGACAAAGTTGTGGTCTGAAAGACATCCGCCAGAATTGTACAAAGAAGGAATATCGGTGTTACGTTGAGACAAGGCTTTGTTATTTTGCCTAAATGACATTTTAATTTGTTATAGGATTTGTCACTGACATCCCCGCTCTATAGTTTGTGATATTGTGTGTACAGGCAGCCATATACCTGTTGTCTTCAGTGTTTTTGTTAATCAGAAAAAGCACACGGTAGACTCTCTATGTTGTGATGAGAAAGAGAGAGGGCGTAGCCTCAGGCTTGGTCCTCAAAAAGAGGAAGTTGTTGTGTAAGCGGATGTATTCATAACAAGGCTTCTGTTTTTTTGTTTCTTCCCAGGTTCATTAAAAAGTTGGAGCACTCCTGGAAAGCTCTGGTGTACGATGGTGTAAGTTGATCAGTGAATGAGTCCTTTGTGGAGATCACACTTGATCCTCTGTATCCTGCACTATTCTGAAATGTGTGTGTTTTTTTCTGTCCATCCCCAGGACTCTGTGTCAGTGCACCGGCCAGGCTTTTATGCCTGCCGTTTCCTCAAGTTCATGAGCACACGGGTCTTTAGGAAGAATCAGCGTAAGTCTGGACAATCCCCATCACATATGACAAAAAGCAGCAGAGTAACAGGAAAGGAGGCAGCAACAGGAAGCAAAAAGACAGAATCTCTGACTCAATTTTAGGATTACTTTGTAAACAGGAGACTGATATCAGGGACACTGTGTTAATCCGTTAAGACGTACAAAACAATACAGAGACTCACAAGTCCAGCCAAAAAAAAAAAACAACTCACAAATTTACAGTTACATAACACCTAACTGGATAAAAAGCTTAATGTCAAATAATTCCTTTAAAGCTGTGACGACTGCAGTACATTGATCCCGATTGCCGAACTAATCCTGTAAATTTCAGACATGTGGAACTGATTTTATGCATGATTGATCTCTTGTGTTCACCTTACATTAGTAACAAATGTTGAGAAAGCCCGCAGGACTCCCGACCCAGGAAATTAGTGAAGTTAGCTTTGCTTCAAATCTCCCAGGAAAAGATTTTATTTCAGGAGTTTAGATGAGGGTTCCTCAGGTTAAATTCCCTGTGTTAAGACTAATACATTTAAAAGCTTTGATAATTTGACTGATACTGTTTTACTCTGTGGAAACATTACTTCAAATGTTGAACCTATCTGTTCTTTGGTTCTTCTAATTATTGTCTGATCTTTTCTTCTGCTCTCTCTGACAGCAATTCGATTTTCACCTTCAAAGAGGACACGCAATTCAATCCCAGCTCTGAAGTCGTCCTCCCAGGAGATACTTTCATCACGGACAGATGAGAGGAATGAGGAGGACAGGAGGGACAGGCTGGGCGGAGCCCGAAGCCTTGCCAGTCTGGACGGACAAGGTAAACAGAGAAGTAGCCTGTCTAAGAAAAACCCCACTGACCACGACCTTGGGGTTTATAATTCAGGGGAAGAGTTGTAAATAATATAATAAAATCAGTGCTTTAGATACTGCATTTATTTAATATAGTCATTTATTGGGTAATATTTAAATCAGGGATATAATTTGTCATCACCTTATATATTTTTGCCAATTAAGCAGGAAATTTGGTGGAACATTGTTGCCAAGTATTATATATATATATATATATACACACATATACTAATATAAAGTATAAACATCTTTTGGTCAATCAATAACTTATTGTGTTATTACGCCTCTTTTTCACAAGTCACTAGTTTCTATACCTTTTGGCTAACTTCAGTTAGCTAATTTTTAGTCTTCTATGCGATTATTGGCAATGAAATGTAAACGTGACACTTTAAAGTGAATCTTAGACATAAGTACTGTTTATCTTTAAATGAACAATCTGCTGTTATGGCTAAACATTTTGTAGGAATGGTTCCCATTATTTTTCTGCAGTGCCCAGCTTTTTTAAGAGGGAAATTGTTGCAGCCCACCATGCCAACACATTCATGACTAACTTAAACTTAAAACACAGTAATTCTTTAAAAAACGATATTCTCAATGAACAAAGAAAATTAAATTATAAGTAGATGGAATTTGTCCAAAGTGGGACCAAAAAATGAAATTGAAATTCATTTGTCTGTGGTTGAAAAGTTCTGTTAGGCAACTGGAAGTGAATTTTCTAAAAGAAAATGTTTCATGTCTAATCCAAGAGGCTTCTTCAGTTCTAACTGGTGGTGGGGAGTACAGCAAATATATACTCTCGGTGAGAAAGAATATAGCTACTACAGCTTTACCCTGTTAGGTGGGGCCTAGGGGTCAACTGTGACCCAAGTGTAAACAGTCGTTAAGAGTCTGATGGGTCATTGTGGTCCCCATCAGAACGGTTTCAGTCACCTGCTTCTTTGTTATGTGAAACTGAGGAGAAACTGTGTCTCAGCTCAGGTATGCCCAGGTAAACTGATTGGTAATGATCGGTGAACAAACACTTTCATCACCATCATCACCGTCATCAGAGTCTGCCCTTTGTGTTTGATGCGATCAGGAAGGGTTAGTCATTGCTGCGCCTGATGATAGCAGGGTGTGCTCTTGGGCGTGAAAGGCAAGGGTTTAAAAATCTGCAGTCCACCTTGGCAGAATCTTCTCCTGTTGGGATCTACAGCTATGACACAGCAGGCTATAAAGAAATCTCTCTTTATTGATAATATATCAGCCCAGAGGAGGACAAAGTAAATCAGTCTGACATTGACACGTGGAAATACAGTGTGTCAGTTTTATTGGCACCATTCAGTCAAAAAGCTTTAATCCAGATGTTGTTCCCTGCTCTGTCTCAGTCATTAGGTCTCGTTCAAACACTGAATCAGCGACATAAATTATTAAATTATTATATGATTCACTTTTAGTTTATAAACAACATTAAAATAATCTTTTAAAGGTTGGCTATGGACATTTTTGTAGGTTGTGTGTGTATTTTCTTTTCAGGTTTTATAAAATCAACCGTAAAAAGTACTTGTGAATAATATTATCAGCAAGGATATAAGAAGTTAACAAGTGACCAATGTGTTACACTTTGATAAACTATTTCAATCGTCAACACAGGGTGTTGGGTAATGTTTTAAAATGTGAATGCGTTACATCCACTAAATTGGTAAATGAAGTATATAAATGGTGAAGTTAAATCACGATTTGTGGATATCAAGACATAAAAGCATTCAAAACGTCAATTCATCATGAAATAAAAACCAACAGTTGGTCCGTGACTATCAGCAAATTAATTTGTGACATTTTTTATTTATGTAACAAACAAAAAGCCACAATTAACACATTGAGTAGAATTAAATCTAAGAACCTTTACATCTTATCATTTTGTTTATTTGATCAAAAATACAATCATTTGTACTGCCATAACTTTACTGCAGATGTTATTAAAAAGGGTTGTAGTGCAAACAATGAATCCAGAAAATGCATTCTCTTTTCAGCTGTGTTTGGTTCCTACCTGCGTCCTGATCTGGTTCCTCCCAATCCGTCTGCCTATGTGGGTTCCTCCATGGGAACCATCTCCAGTTCTTCCATCTTTGTCTGTGTAGACAACCAAACAGAGGAGAGGTAAAGTACCTGTTTGCTTTTCTTCCTTTGAAACAGTAGCTCAACAAACACTCTGTCAACACTCTAATCACTTTTACAGAAGATCTTGCCAAGACTGAGGTTTAGATTAATTTCACTGGTATCTACACAGACCTGCTTACTGGTTCAAACCAGTGCTTTTGATCATTTTGCTCAAAATGTCATTGCAACTCATATGTAACAAGAACATATTCCTTGATACTTTTTCTGATATACATTAAGTCTGTATTCAGTGAGTCACAAACACTGATTTGCAACAACTTTTGCTAATATCAGTACCAGTCACAGTTGGTACAGCTTCTAGAACATTCTCCTGAAGTGGAAAGCAATCACATCAGGCTCTGCTGCAGTTTCTCTGGGTTCAGAGTGGAGCAGTACTTCTTTGGCAGTAACTTGTTAGGGCAGTCTGTGAGGGGAGTTTTTTTGGGCAGTGGTTAAAGTAACTGTTGAGTAATTGGAGGATGGACTGTTTGAATTTTGGTCTTGAGAATGCAGTAAAACCCCCTTACAGCCATGTACACTAAAACTGCAGCGCTGCTTGTCTGTGTTAGTTTTAATGACTGTGTTTCTGGGTTGGTCTAAATGTAGAGGGTGATTGCTCTTAGGTACTAGAGTACTGAAAATATTCTAAAGTCAAAAGTGATTAAGGAATGAGTTCAGATTGAACAGTACTTTGACAGATGAACAATTTGTTTTTGTAACAGTGGATTTGCATTTCAAGCAAAAAGGAGAAGTGACCTCGTATGAGTTCATCATGTACCAACCTACTCACCTTACACTGTGAGAAAAAACTGATAACTGTACCAAAATCAGAAACCCAGTTCCTGCAGACAGTATGAGTTCAACACAACATGACATTAACTACCTAACATACATACACACACACTGTCTCGTGTTTCAGCCCAATAATTTACCTTTAGACTCAGAGGGTTGTATTTATTTGCTCGCCACCCTCATATCTCATGCGTACAATCTTCAGGGAGTAATAAAATAGGAGCCTGGATGCCAAGCCAAATGTTCTGCTGCCTCTTAGGTTCTGCTCCTGCTGCCATAAACATTTTATTGTGAGTGGGTCGACTGAATTATAACCATTGTGCTCTTTATGACCCTTAAAAACATGATGCAAGCTTCCTGTAAACAATAAGTTCCTCGAGAAGTAAACACGCCACACCCAGAAAAACACACACACAACGTTGCTTTCACCTGTGCAGCGTCATTACATGGTCTCATTAGGTATGTGCGTCATGGAGCAGGTGACTCAGCTGCCTCAGAGTGCAGGCGTCCAACACACTTCCCACGCAATGTATGGATTCTAGAGTCTGGGATGAGGGGTGTGATGGATGCTTGCTAACTTTCATTTTCACAGCTAAGAAATAGACAGAAGTACAAAAGTCTGTGTCCACGAAATAATGGCACACCATCATTATTAGCAGACTGCTTCTGAAGAACGTTCTCCTCACCAGGTTCTCTCCAACACTCTGCCCACACCATGTTTTTAAATGGTTCCCCTGACCTCCTGTCCACCAGTGTCAGGTTCTGCTTGCTTTCTGAGCGTCCATTGTGTGACTTGTCAAGTCTTGTCCGCTGGTCCGTCACCTGCTCCCGCCCTGACATTGTTCAGTCGTCTGTTTTTAGAAAAAAATAAACACACGGCTGCCCCTGTGCCATTATGCTGCAGAAAAGACTGTGAAACTGTGACAAAAGAGTGGCAGCGGACAGACTGCATGTCCTCTCAATGTTTGAATGTCCATGTTGCAGCAGTAACACCTCCTGTTGTCACGTTAGAGGCCAGGTCTGCTCTGAAACAAAGCCATTGCTCACCTGTGTACCAGCAGTAAACAATCGTGAGGGTAGAAGACCAGTAATAGTTTTTATAGAACTAGAGGGAACAAGATCCAACTTTTAACATTTGTAACAGGCTCAGGTTAGGCTCAGGCTCACACTATGACCTAAATATGGTTATCAATCCACATTATCCTTAAATGGCCTCAGGCACACATAAAAGACACGTTTACACACTTTAGTCAAGTTTATAAAAAGTAGTAAATATTTAATTAAAAGGTTCAGTTACTTATATATATATATATTTAGACCAGTTTGAAATCAAACTAATTGTAAATTATAAAAGTTTGAATATATATATTAAAAGAAAACTTGATCGTAACAAATTCAAGAGGGTACATCCATGGCTTCCCTGTCCACTAATGTCCATGGGTGAAAAGCAATACTGCCCCCTGGTGGAGGAAAGCAGCTTTCAATAAACAGGAGACTGGAATGACTTCCCCTTGATCTTAAAAGTCACTGCAGAAAATTATTGTACATAATATTTGTTATGGCAGTAAACACTGATGTTTGAGTTGCAGATATGGGCTGGTTCTTTTCAGAGACGTTATACTCACTCGAACAAATCTATCTTTTAGAGAGGATGCTGCGTCCACCTCCACCTTCACCATGGAGGACAGCGCCATCTGCCTGACTAGGGAGCAGAGCACAATGGATGTGGACGTGGACCGTGATGACGGATCCATCCTTGATGTCTACTTGGTAAGTTGTGTCGAATATGCGAACTCTCTCTACCTGTCCACTCAGTGGCCACTTCATTAAGTACACGTCGACAGTAAGAGTGTTCGACACCAGTTAGCCTTTCACCATTGTTGTGTATACATTTTGTATGATGCTGGTAACATTGTATCACTCTTTTGGTCTATATTGTGAAACAGTGACATCAGTGAATTCATCAAGTCATCAATAGTTCTCCGACTGTTATCTGGTGTGTGTAGAGGTCATTAAAGTCACTTTACTTACCCTTTCCTCCAGTGCGATAAGTCCTACTCAACAACCTCAAACATGCAGACATGTAGTTGATTATATCAGCATTGTTAAGCAAACAATAATATATTTTCTCTTTTCTACAGTGAGACGAGCAGCTTCTCAGCCTTCAAACTTGCCAATCATAAGACAATCGCCGCACTCCATTGGACTGGCCTTTATCTCCACTTCCTGTGCTGCTTCATCTGTATTGCTAATTGTTTTGCCAAAACACAAAAGGACTGATATTCTTCACAGAGAAGAGCGATGGACATCTGCAGGGGACAAAACTTCCTCAGAGCACGTGTCAGTGCAGCGCCATTACGTTTTATACATGTGTCTTTTGTCCATGTCATTTCAAGACATTTGAACATACAACAGGAGAGAGCAAATACCAGTCATAGACATTAATGCAATTATTTTTCATGGTGATCAGTAAATTAGAGATCATTTCAATGAAGATAAATGTTTACAGAAATATTGTGAAAGCACCTTCTGTTGCCCATGAAAGAGGATGTGCCAGTGTCACAAAGAGGACACAAGGCCGCATGATGTCACACTCCACGAGGTGAAGGAAATGCTGAAGAAATGGCCAAACACACATGTGGAAGTGTTTTAAATGGTGTTTTTTCCTGACTGGGCTGATATTTGTGCTGCTCTGACACAAAGCTAAAGCTCAGCAGCAGGACTTTCAAAGACTTGAATAACAAGTTACTGGCTCCAGGATGAAGCAGAGAACATGTGGAGAAAACACTTGTTCTCTGCATAAAAAGGCACTTTTGAGGACTATGATGATTACTTTAAGACTTTGTCTTTTCCCTGAGGACAGTACTCAGGTGGGTGAGGTGCCTGACAGAAGCACAGCTTTTGACATTTAGACGTGCACTTTTCCTCCTCTTCTTTCTCTACGCTATCCTCGATGCTACAGTGTAGACACAATGAAAGAACATTCTAGATAATTTTCACTGTGGTTCTCAGACTTCTGCTCAGGATCCTTTGATTCGGAACCAGTGAAACGAAGAAGTCACCCGATACCTCTTCATTAAAACCTTGTTAATTGTTCAAATTCACAATCACATGTTGGTTTTAAATGATAATTTATGTAAATCCTAATATTTTAGCATTTACTGAAAGCAATCTTTCTTTGTTCAATGTAAAAACAATGCATATTTATATATAGAACAGACTGGTATAAATAAAGTGCTCAAATCCTTTGAGTGTGACTGTAGCCTACGATGGAGTACTACTTTCTTAAAGTATATTTCTATGATTGACAGTTTCATTGTCCTCAAGTCATGACTTGAGAATGATACTTAACGGACTTGAAATGTTTTCTTCAGTGACCTCACTCCGACTTGATTGGAACATTTTCATATCACATAGGAGTCACAGTTCAAACTGTTGGGACACCACTCAAGAGAATCGACTTTAAAAATGTTCTTTAGTGACCTGGACTTGAATTGAATACAAAATGACTAACCTCAAACATCTGTGACTACGACATGCCAAAAGGTTGAACTTGGATTGTTCAATTTCTTCTTTTAGAACTAAACACTGGAGTCTTGACTTGGGAGACTTGTTTTTAGAGATCAACTCTTAAATATGATGACTTTAACATCATATAATATCATATAACAATGACTTTAACTTTAACACAAACTGCAATTACATTTGTCTACTTGCATCTGTTGAGTTGGTATCCTGAAAAACTTGCCATAGTGACCTGGAGACAGTCTGGAAACCATTAAAACTTCCACTTTATTTTTTGTGACTGAGGGCAACACAAAACCCTGGAGACATGACTGACTTTTCTTCAGTGACCTGGCTTCTGACAGACAACTGAACACATAACTGGCACTTCTTTAATTTGCCTGGCACTCTAAACTAAAAAGGCTTAACTGAAAACTTAACCCCAATTTTTGCATTATCGTCAGTAAGCTCTAAGCTATGTTGTATCCCTTGGTTATAATCAGTTGTGTAACAATTTTAATTTACAGGACATTGTCAAACTGCGTTACATTTTGTGCAAATTATAAAACGTCAGATATACAAGTTGGAAATATACAAAGTGTAGATTACTGAGAAAATGTCAAACATAAAAATGATAAATGCACCCTCCATAGATGTGGCCTTGGGCTTTTATTCCTCTATTCATCCTTGAATTAACCAATGAGATGCTCCCTGATCTCAAACACCTTAAGACTCATAGGTACTTACATGACTGCAGAAAAAAATACATTAAATGATGAGGTAACATGTGAAATGCTGACCCTCCCCTCACCCCACGATGATAAATGCACAACTGGTGGAGGCTGTGCAGTAGAGAACATCAGAATCCTTGTCCTGGTTATCTAAGGCATTCTTCGGGGCAGTTTGTCACTCAAAGGTCAAAGGTCAGGAGGTCACTGCACTGTAATGTGGAAGATGAAATGTCACATATGGTCACAAAATGGACACAAACAGCCATGATTTGCATTGTCACACAATGACACCAACAAGACATTTAGTTTCAGAACTTTTAAATCTTTAATCAGATCATTTGTACATTTCAAGTGAAATCCATCTTAGTAGAAGTGAACAAGACCACATCACCAGGAGATGTGTCTGTGTTCAGTATTAACCAATCACCTACAAACCAATACCAAGCAGTTGTCACTTTACAAAGGCCACAAATAAACCAAACTCAACCAATTTAAGTTCACCTTCAGATTTTTTTTTTCAACATTACATTTAAACTGATTTCAACTGAAATGTACAGATTGCAGATTAAAGAAAGATAACAAAATGTAATATCTTGGTGTCACTGTTTCACATAGACGTTTTACAGAGGGGTCTGAAAACATTGACATATTTTCCTGATCCTCCAGAAGTGATATTTTGACAGAGAAAACAACGTAAAATGTGTGGAATAATTCAATGCAATGCTCTTCAACAAAGGATCTTCACATCAGTCACTGTGGATGGTCGTTTGGGAGTACGTGTCTGTGGAACACTGTGGTTCAGGAATGTCAATTAACCACAGCTTAGTACCAACAGACACGACATGTTGCATTATTGTTGATTGTGTAAATAAGCTCAGTCTGTGCTGAATCAACTGGGTGAGTACTCTTCAACTCCATTACAAAGCGCAACAGTCAATTCACATTCCTCACATTGATAAACTAAACCAACAATAAGCCTATGTACATGACACTGTGTCTCTTAGAAAGCTGATTTATAACAATCTACATTATAAATACAAAGATTTCAAAGCTCCAGGCTCAGACCCTCCATCAAACTACAGAGAGTCGTCACCAGAGGGAGAGAGAAGGCATGAAAGACTGGGGGAAAAGAAAACAACAACAACAACAACAAAAACACTGTACCAAAACCTCATCCATGCTTTTATCTCTCCACATCTACCCGCCTCGCTCAAGATGGTTAATTTAACAGCAGCAAAACATGGAGCTGTAATACTAGTGATTAAAGCAAATCCCAAAGAAAGTCATGGAGAAGGATTTTTTTTGTAATGTATAAAACAATTTAAAAATTAAATTCTGTGATCATCTTCTTTTAGAAACACAAACAGGAGATGTTTCATCTGCAGCCGTGAACAACAGGTGAGTGTTGAGCTGGTCTGGTGTGACTGGATTAGGAATTAGTGATGGATTAAAGCTCTGAAACCTGTCTCCAGAGGACTCGGGTTCACTCCAGATGATACTGTGTCTGTAGGCAGACATCTGGTCTCACTGTCAGGGGAGTTGATTCATCCAGAGCTGGTTTAATGCTGAACGTCTTCTCCACAGACTGGTCGTCTGACCTGGAGAAAACGAAGACAAGACCAGAGAGTACAACAAATCAGAACTGCGGCTGCAGGGGATTCATTATGTGATCAATTGATTTGATCGTGGTTTCAATACGAATTGATAAGAATCATTCATTGAAAATGACAAACAACTTGCCCTTTATTACAGCACCAGCAGAAACAACAACCACAAAAAGTAGAAAACAGGAATTAATCTATAATAACAACAACAATAACAACAAGAATACAATTATAAAAGAATATATAATATACACAGAGCACCTTTAGATATACAGAAACAACAATATTATGAAAGTATAAATAAACATGTACTTTACATATTTTCTATGTAACTTTATGTGGTTAGGGGGATTTTTTTTGATTTTTTTTTTCATTTAAGCTTTCCTAGACTTTACAGGTTTCCTGCCTTTAAGTCCTCCTGTCATGTGTCTCTATAAGCACCCACATGAAACACAACAGCAGAACCAATGTTTAGTGGAAAGGAGAATCACAAAGCCTTGGTTCAGGAAAACTGTAATTATTAATGTTCTTAATTGATGAATCATTTCAGATCTGAACGACATGGAAAACTGGGGAAAATATAAATTTGAACATTTTCCTCTTTCTGTTCTGAACATGTTGCATTAGGTTAAATAACTAATTACTTTATATCCTGCGGACTGGGCCTACAGTTAACTGTGTTACCACTGCACTCTTATCATGTTTTTACAGCCAGCCAGATGATCTGCTTGCTTACCTCTTAGTGTTCAGAACAGGATGGACTTCCCAGCAGTTTTTTCCTGTACGTAGGAAGTGAAGCGCTTTAGAAACTTAGGATACTCTCTCTTGGCCACAGCTCTGAGGACGGAGGCCGGAGCCCAGCCTCCTGGGTTTACTGCAGATACACAGGAGAGAGACACTCCAACACTGAGGCTTGGTACTGACTCAGGAGAATACATGGTTTCACAGCACATGGTTCTACAGTACCCTACAGTGAGAAACACTACACATTTCTACATTTTATTACACATACTATGGTGGATGTTATGAGATGTAAAAAAATGTAGTTAAATTAAAAATGCTCTTTGTTCTGTTGGCTGCTGTTTTTGTCTTAAGTAAACACTCCATCACGTACCATTGGCAACATAGGTGATCTTACAAAGGATGTTGTCTCTGCTTATCTCCTTATCGCCCTCAGGTGGGCTGACCAGAGTTTGGCAAATCATAGCAACATTGATTTTGGCACGAACACACCTGTTTGTGGGCTATAGGAAAGAAAAAAGGTCACAATGCCTGAATTGCCAAGCATGGCACCAGAGTGGAAATGAGGAAAAGTCAAATCCCTCTTTCTTTGACTATACAAAGGTTTTCACAAATACACTAATATAAGACAGAGGGGTTTACCCCAAGAAGTACGCAATAGTACTGTATGATAGACAGAGTATTTCAGTACACTTACAGGGGCGTCATTGTGGTCCACAGAGAAGTTACAGACCAACCATGTGTCAGGATCATTTTCATTCATTGCTAAGATCTTCCTCATGGCGGACAAATACAGCACATCTCTCTGAGAGGCCGGCCACACTCTCTGAAACACACACAGAGTGTCTTGATGAAGACAGAAGGAAGGTAACAGGATATATTACCTTTGCTTCCACAAAAGGCTTTTTACTTTCTGTCTTCAGCATGTTTATATTCATTTAATTCCACATCTAAGACATTATATGTCTTATTCTAAATACATTTTATAATAATGCATGAGGTCAATTTTCTTGCTTGTGTAATTGTACTGTAACAAACAACAATTGTGCTTCTCATTCTCCATACACTTTGGCAGTAGAAGTATTTACCTTGTGTGTCTGGTAAACAATTGTTGCGTTGTCAGAGAGTGTCTCCACCACATTGAAGTTTTCAATGGTGGCTAAGGAGAAAAACACAGTACACTTAGGATGTTAGACTCTGAGAACCTACAGGTGTAACATCTCACACACTTCTATACAGTAGAACCTACTCTCCCAGTCCATTCGAACATCCGTGTCCCAGAAATAGTGACAGACCTCGTGTCCTGTCACACCCTTCACTGAATGTGTGGCTTTGAGTGGATCCAAGACAATACCATTCTCTTCCACCTCTCTCCTGTACACCTGCATCAGACACATGGCACAGGATCAGACACAAGTATTCACCAGGATTTTTCTAGGACAATTTAAAACATTCAATAATACTAATACCACTCTTCAACTGGAGCGTCTGAAAAGACACTAACTCTAACAACACTCTAACACAACTCAAATGTGAAACTGAAGAGCTGCTCTGAGGTGACAGAAATTTGATTGGTTGGTAGCATCACATGGGACACTGCATTAGCTGGAAGAACAGAAGTGATGTTCTGTTTGCCTTTAGTTAAGTATAGGAAAGAAGAAAAGAGGAATTATTTTACAGGATAACTTGTTTCCAGGACATGACTTTTTTCTTCATTTTCCATTTTGTTTCCTTGATGATTGGTCATTCATTTTCCAGATTTTCCAGAAGGTGTAGGATTTCTTGTTATTTTTTGTTTTAAAATGTGCAAATAAAAAAACAAATTAAAACCTCTCACAATTAAATAAATTGTTTTTCCCATATATACACACGTGGACAAAATTGTTGGTACCCCTCAGTTAAAGAAGGGAAAACCCACAATTCTCACTGAAATCACTTGAAACTTACAAAAGTAACAATAAATAAAAAAATATTGAAAATTAAACAATCAAAATCAGCCATCACTTTTGAATTGTTGATTAACATAATTATTTAAAAAAACAAACTAATGAAACAGGCCTGGACAAAAATGATGGTACCTCTATAAAAGATTGAAAACTATTTGACCAGAGTGACATGATTAACTCAGGTGTGTCCTTCAATTGACATCACAGGTGTTTCCAAACTCATAATCAGTCAGTCTGCCTATTTAAAGGTAGACAAGTAGTCACTCTGCTGTTTGGTGAAAAGGTGTGTACCACACTGAACATGGACAACAGAAAGCGAAGGAGAGAATTGTCCCAGGACATACGAAAAAAAATTATAGACAAACATCTTAAAGGTAAAGGCTATAAGACCATCTCTAAACAGCTTGAAGTTCCTGTGACAACAGTGCCTCATATTATTCAGAAGTTCAAGACCCATGGGACAGTAGCCAACCTCCCTGGACGTGGCCGCAAGAGGAAAATTGATGACAAATTGAAGAGACGGATCGTTCGAATTGTATCCAAAGAGCCCAGAACAACCTCCAAAGAAATTAAAGGTGAACTCCAAGGCCAAGGTACATCAGTGTCAGATCGCACCATTCGTCGTTGTTTGAGCCAAAGTGGACTTCATGGGAGACGACCAAGGAGGACACCACTGCTGAAAAAAAATCATAAAAAAGCGAGACTGGAATTTGCAAAAATGCATGTTGACAAGCCACAAAGCTTCTGGGAGGATGTCCTTTGGACAGATGAGACCAAACTGGAGCTTTTTGGTAAGGCACATCAACTCTATGTTCATAGACTCAAAAACCAAGCATACGAAGAAAAGAACACTGTCCCTACGGTGAAACATGGAGGAGGCTCAGTAATGTTTTGGGGCTGCTTTGCTGCATCTGGCACAGGGTGTCTTGAATGTGTGCAAGGTAAAATGAAATCTGAAGACTATCAAGGCATTCTGGAGAGAAATGTGCTGCCTAGTGTCAGAAAGCTTGGTCTCAGTCGCAGGTCATGGGTCTTCCAACAGGACAACGATCCAAAACACACAGCCAAAAACACCCAAGAATGGCTGAGAGAAAAGCGTTGGACTATTCTAAAGTGGCCTTCCATGAGCCCAGATCTGAATCCCATTGAACATCTGTGGAAGGAGCTGAAACATGCCATTTGGAGAAGACACCCATCAAACCTGAGACAACTGGAGCAGTTTGCTCATGAGGAGTGGGCCAAAATACCTGTTGACAGCTGCAGAATGCTCATTGACAAATACAGAAATCGTTTAATTGCAGTGATTGCCTCAAAAGGTTGTGCAACAAAATATTAAGTTATGGGTACCATCAATTTTGTCCAGCCCTATTTCATTAGTTTGGTTTTTTAAATAATTATGTTAATCAACAATTCAAAAGTAATGGCTAATTTTGATTATTTAATTTTCAATAAATTTTTATTTATTGTTACTTTTGTAAGTTTCAAGTGATTTCAGTGAGAATTGTGGGTTTTCCCTTCTTTAACTGAGGGGTACCAACAATTTTGTCCACGTGTGTATGTGGTCTTTCTGTAACTATTACCTAATACAAGGGCCTGTACTTCATCTATTCCCTGGTAGCATAACAGAATGCTTGAGTTCTTTTAAAACTACAAATGTTATATAATCTGCCTTGATTAAAAACCAAGGGAAATGATTTATGAGCTGCTTCTCTCCTCCACACTAACCTTCATCTCTCCTTCTTCTATCACCAACTGCCAATTGGCATCTCCACCCACGTCCTGTAGAGAGTAAGTCATATGCATCTGTACCATCTCCTCCACCTAGGAGACATTGAGATATTGATAAGCATTACTTCTGTCCTTCACATGTTTGACTGAAGGCATGCTACAGAAAATGTGAAAAAAAGAGGGAAAAATTGCAAAAACTAAAGTTTCACTACATTCTATAATACACGCAAGCATGCAAATAATGCATGCAAATTTTAAATACATATAAAATGTTTGAATACAATTTTAAATTTTAATTTAGGATGAGCACTAAATAAAACAATTTTTAGTTTCATCCATGATGCTAGGAATATTGATAATACAAACCCCATTACCAAAAAAGTTGGTAAACTTCCTAAATAAAATCCAAAAAATCATAACCACATTGAATATAGAAAATCATAGTAATTCAAAATGACCAAATAAGCACAAGCGCAGTGAATAAATTATAGTTTGTCCTTTGAATAATACCTTTATGGAGTCCACTAAGTTTTCTGTAAAATGGGGTTTGTATAAAATATACTGCAAAACAGATGTGGAGAGACGGGTTAGTGAACATCTTCATGCTAAATCTGGCAGTTTACATGCGCTGCAGACACCGGTGCTTCTCTGGTGATCAATACAATACCTCAGTGCTGAATCTGTGAACATCTTCTGAAGCACTGAGTAGCTCAATGGAGGACAGGGAGGAAGAATGGCCATGGGGCTGTGAAGCAGGAAAGAGGTTTGCAAGAGAGAGGAACAGGTGAAGCAGCACACCAGTGCAGAGAATCACAACTTAAGACACTAGTAAGATGTACAGATCCTACAGTAGAGTACAGCAAATGTTGCTGGAACACAGAAGCACATGTCATTTAAATATCCCTGGAAAGACAGAGCAGGTCAAGTGACACTGGTTGAAGGGCAGAAAAGAACAGGATGGATGAGTTGCAGAAAAGAGGAGGTTTGAATGAAAACATGCTCAGAATGTGAAGAAAATTAGAATTATCTCAGGAACCTTGTTGGCCAGCCGGTGTGTGCCAATGGTGGAATAGACATCTCCAGGTGTAACGGACGGTGGTCGGGATATTCTGACTTTCTCTGACTGGCTCTGGAAACATTCAAGAGAAAAAGTAAGTTATATTTACATATTTACATTTACTGTTGAATAGGACAATAAATACTGCATATCCTACAAATGATTCCTTATAAAAAAAAATCAACATATTAAAACCAATTTAACTACTAATGTAATGATAATATATAATAACAATGTACACCTTTTCAAAAAAAATTAACCTTTACAGTGCATTAACATGGGATGTTTGACAACATTGTCAAATTTACAGTCGATCCAAACGACTTGAGTGGAGAACTTCTGTAGGACACACAACACATACAGAGCTCATTTTTTAAAAATGGGTTTTCTATAGGAGAAAATAATTATGAAGATAAATTAAAGCTAAAACATAGTCACAAAAGGTAATGAGGTATAAAGAGACAAAAGTCTTAACTGTTAAAGACAACTCAATCATTTCAAAAACATAGCCAGAAGCTACAAGTTAGCCAAAGAATACTCTTGACTTTAGTCAAAACTGTTGGTTAATAAGCTAAAACTCTGCCACGTAATAACTGAAACTTAGTCAAATATATAAAGTGCATGTACTGTCACTAAAATACAGAAAGTTTAAACCAACATTGGCCAAGTCAGTGGTTCCCTAACTGAGGAAGAAATAGTTTTGAATGTCTCTCCATAGGCTTGGTAATAGTGCTGTAAAGTAAAGTAAATCGTTTCACTGTTCCACTGCAATTACAATATCCGGCTGCACCGCAGGTCACATTCAGAGTCTGAAGGGAGTGATAACAATTAAGCTGAGGTTTGTAGCTGTTAGTACAATGACGAGATTTATTCACAATGACTAAAGTAAAACACCCACAGAAGTGTCTGGTGAAGAACCAGTTCTTGCTGGATTGAATTTCAAAACACAATGAGAGGCAGAAATGCCTTGCTTAGAAACTGCCTATGACTGATTGGAAAATGTACGTAACTTTCTCTTTGTTGAGAAAATTGGAGGAAGACACACACACACTCTGAAGTTATAAAATAAGGCAAAAAATATAAACATATGAAGCATAAATACTAAAGAAAATATTAGATGTCCTTTTACATATCATGTATAAATGTTTTATACTCCAGAATACTAGAAAACATCCAGATTTTTCTGACTTGTGTGAATTCCGACATTTATCACACCTGCTCTTCTATCTTGTCTTGTCTGTCCAGCTCTGCTTCCACTGCATCAAAAAACTCTTCTTCATTGATCAGGCTGTTTGGCCCTTCCTGTGAACAGACAATAACAAATTTATTTTTATGTTTTATTTATCAACTGAGAGCAGCCTAAAAAATGGCATGTTTAAAATAATACACTTGATGCAACTCTTTAGACTAAGTCAATGGATCATTCTATTTTGATTTATACATTTCAACATGAACAAGTCTGCTCTTGCCTCATAGTCTGGGCCTCCGTAGTGTGACTTTTTCTTCAGTTCATTCACAGCACACTTGTAGGCATCTTCTACCCTCCTCCTCTTCTCCAACTCCTGCAAAGGTACAGACACCACAGTGAAATATTGTTAGAGTAGAGTGGTGACATAGAGACACAAACTCAAATGACTCTGAACATATGAGCTAGTCATAATACAATATCTTTTAATACATTAAAAGACAGACATGTTTAAAAATCAGAATACACTCCAGAGACAGAAAAACAAAACAATATTTCTATTAGAAACAACTAAGCAACAATCTAACTAATTTACAAAAATGACCTGAGTATAGGACATGGGATCACATATACTATTACACTGTATACATTTTGCTTTTGTTGCTTTTGTTGGTGGAAAATAAATCCATGAAGAGGCAGTGATGCCCCCTTAACAACCCCAGTTCCTGTCACAACCCAAGAAAGAAGTAAATTCAAATGTTGGGGAGGGTAAGGATCAGTCCCAGGCAAGTTTCGGCGGAAACTCAAAGTTTTGGAGATGGTCTGTGTTTACAAATGCTTAACCTTTATTCCTGTATAATCTACCTGCAAAAATCAAGCAGGCTAAAAATACACACAACATAAGCCTATCGTTCAATTTAGTCAATATCTTAACAAGAGGGAAAGAAACAAACAGTCAAAGGTAAATAATCCAAGTGTGAAGAAAAGTGTGGGCGTTTTAACATTTGCCACAGTAAATAGTAGGTGATCCTGTCGCCAGATTTATTTAACAGACAGAGAGACATACTGCAAAAAAAAGGCTGTCCGTCTGTAGAGGTATCCATCTCTGTGTCGAGTACGTTAGCAGCTGTGTCTTCCTTCTGAGCGAGGGCTTCCATAAACCGCGAGCCGTAGTCATTCTTTAGTTTGATTCCTGTGCAGGTAGGTGGTGTATCTTCTACCTGTGACCAGGGTTTCTATCTGCGACAGCAACTATGTCCCGACTCCACATTAGTAGCTAAATTTGACAAACAATCCCTATGAACTTATAGGCACTGACATAGTTTCTGTCAAACTGTCTGACTAACTCTGTAGCTTTCCGGCTTTTGAAAGGTTTAGGGTTGGGCAGCACACCTTTAGACACAGAGAAAAAAAAGGAAAGAAACCTGTTTGACAACTGGAGCTAATCAGGATGTCAGAGTGAGCAGTTCTGACAGGTGTAAAATTACACAAGCAGGTACGTTGTAAGGATCTTGTGTCATTCACAATAAAAAATAAATAAAACAAAGTTGTTAGATTTAGCAGAATCTAGTGAGGTAATGTATGTTGTAAATCTATACACCACCATTACTATCTAATCATGTAGAACATACTGTAGTCTCCTTTTATCATAAAAAACAAAAGACATTTAATTTTAACCTATATGTAGAATGACACACAATGTGTATGCCATAATGTCACTGTGAATCCATCCATTGTTTAAATACAGTTAATACACATGATGTCATTTGCTCACAATGTTTATCCAAAGCAGCTAAGGCTTAAAATACCATCTCAACGCCCAGCATGCATTTATGGAGGCTTCAACTTGCATCACACCAGCCCCACTGAGCACAGAGCACTAAGTCTACGGCTGACAAGATGACTGACGATCAAAGCAGGGACTTCAGACAGATTGAATACTAAACAGTTTAAAATGAAAATGACCAATTCCTTTGTATTACTCTTTGATTTTAGAGTATTTGCTTTAATATTTCCTTAATTATTTTATTAATGCATTTTTTTCTTTTTATAAGCAGTACCCTGTCTTAGTGGTGTATCCTGGTATAAAGACTTCTGTTATTTGATGCCTAATTTCTGAATCAGAATCAGACTCCAAACATTCAACCACAATCTCTAGGCCCATTTAAAGTTTCAATCACTACGTCGAGGGTAAGAACTGTTATTACACTCCAACAGTAAAGTATCGAACGTTTTCAAACACAATAGGAGGAACAATTCCTGCCTCTCCTCAGGCAAAGAAACACTTATACACAGCTCAGACTGGTGATGGGTACACCCATATAGGAAACTGCTAGGTTTTTTACACAGTGAGCAACAGTTATTTCATTTTCATTCATGTGTTGAGCATAAGAACGGACCTTGTCCAGTCTTTTCTGCCAGCTGTCCTCTCGTTTGACCATGAGTTCAATGCAGTGGGAAAGGGTGGACAGGATGCCTGCTGTCGTTGCCTTGAATGTTATGGCTTCACCTTTAAAGTCGATGCCATTGATACCTTTGGGACTGGACGGAGGAAATACTGGCGCAAAAAAAAGCAAAAATTTACTTTTAGGATTTTTAAAGCAAATTACATTTATGTTTAAAATGTAACATATTCAATTTTAATTAAGCGGTTAACCTGAAGTTGAAAAAACACACCTGCCCTCTGCTGGTGTAAAATAAACCAGCTAGGATGCAAATCAAGTAAAAAGACCTAAACCCCTACAGCAGCTAAATCCACATTTAAAGCTAATATTTAAAGCATAAGTCTTTCTCAGAAGAGATTCTCTTCCCTAGATGCAAATGACATTGGAGGTTAAGAAGTAAATGATACAGATTCCTCACTTTAACAACTGTGGGCTTTTTCTTCCTAACAAACACAAAAGCAACAGTGTGTAAAATGCAAATCGAGAAAAAATGTATTATCAAAGCAATACTTGTGAAAAGCAAACTAACATGAAAGAAAACACAACAGGCTTTTCACATTGTACACATTTTCTGTGAATATAACCATCTGTGCTGCTGATCTGCTAAATATTCATTCATTAATTTCAGGGGTTTGGTGCATCTTATTATTGTCGCTGGTTTAATGGGTAAGAAAAACACCAAAAAAAATACCTATCCCACTTGTCAATTAAACTTGAGAAAGTATGTGCATGTGTTCTCACATTTCTCTTTGCTGCCGTTGTTGTTGTGATTACATTCTCCATCAGGTCTTGTGTTGGTGGGAAATTCATCTTCATCATCCTCTACTGTAGGACAGAGAACAATGGCCAAAGTTATTATAAATATATAATAAACTATAATAATATGTTTATATATATGTAGTGGGAAATATTCTGCTGATTATGCAGATTATAGATTATAACTTACCATTTCTGAAATGATGTTTAAGACAATGTCTATTTTTTAAGATAAAATCAATACGTTAAGCTACATGCTCATTAGCAGCCCAGGTTAAACAAGGCAAACCACTAAGTGCCCTCTAAGTGGATATTGATTTCTTTTACCCTCTGTAATCAGTTTACCAGCCACTCTCTTACTATTTGTAGACCACGTTCACTATGTAAAAAAGTTTTCTTTCCGTGAACTTTAATTTCTGCCAGGAAACATCAAGGCTAACCCTGCCATGTATTGATACACTGATGTAAAAAAATGAACATTAACTGATTGTTTCGAAAAAAGGTTTTTTTTCAAATCAAATTTAGTATCAGTGCCATCTGGGTGTCAATAGCATGCATTACCTTTGTCCCTCTGAAATTCATCTTTAGAGACAGCATCAGCACAGGAGTCAAAGTATTTTTGCAGGGTGTCCACTTGTCTGCATAGAATGTCTCGAAAGGTTTCCATTTCTGCTAACTTCTCACACAGTCTGTGACCTTTCTGAATACAAACAGAGATGCAAATAAACAAAATAATTAAATATATCTCAGTCGACAGGCTGGTGATAGATAGATAGATAGATAGATAGATAGATAGATAGATAGATAGATAGATAGACAGACAGACAGACAGACAGACAGACAGACAGACAGACAGACAGACAGACAGACAGACAGACAGACAGACAGACAGACAGACAGACAGACAGACAGACAGACAGACAGACAGACAGACAGACAGACAGACAGACAGACAGACAGACAGACAGACAGACAGACAGACAGACAGACAGACAGACAGACAGACAGACAGATAGATAGATAGATAGATAGACAGATAGACAGATAGATAGATAGACAGATAGCACTTTATTAATCCCTCGGGATTTAGGCAACCACAAAGTAATTATCAAAGTCTCATCACTGATGATAACAAAAAACGTTTTACCTTGAAGGAGGATGTGGAGGTGGCAGACAAGGCACTGGCTGCTGAGGTGAGAGACAACATGGAACCATGACGCCTCAGACTGGTTTCTGAACCATAACCTGACTCAGCCTGAAACACAAGTGATGGACAGAATGTTAGAAAGAACAGAGAAGAAGCTTTAGTAATGAACTTACTTAACAAAAGGAGATTCAGTGAGTGGAGGGATGAAAAGATGACAGAATACATTAAAAGAAATCTGCTCTCTACATATAAACAAAACAGGTACAACAGAGAAAAACAGCTTCAAACACAAACAATGTGTCTGCAGCTCAAATACACTAGGGAGAGCTGCAGAGTGGCCATAAGATCACTCCTCTCAGTCAGTAGCAGAGTTATGCTGATCTGCAGCAGAGCAGAGCTTCCACCTACACATAGAAAATAGTCTGTTGAAAAGAGACTGCACTGACAGATGTGCTAACAGTGCTAACTGCTGCTGAAGAAACATCTGTGAGCAGATCCCACATGGTAAGAAAAATGGCTATAGACCATGCACTACACTTCTCACACTGAATTACAAAGAAAAAGGCTGCAGGCCATATCTTAACTCAGGTCTTAACATGTCTACCATAAATATTAGTGCAGTGTAATGCATTAATGATTTGACATTTCAAGTCAGAAGTCTCTACCATTCATCTTATCTGCCGTCTGTCTAATGTGGAATGTTTCTTTATGTGAGCTGCACAAGAACAGTGTACAGTAAATAAACACAACCCCTAGGAAGTAAAATAAGCGTAGGTGATATTAATAGACTGGTAACTTATTAAATACATCTGATTTAACAAATAATGTGCCCAGCTCATGGATACTGTATTTTTAAGCAGGCAAAAGTCCTACCGTTTGTTGGTAAAGTACCTTTTTGGTCACTGTGTTTATTGTGTATTTTAAAATGAAGATAACTCATTATCCTCTCTCACCATGGCTTGTTGTGCCCACGACTTTGTAATGAACTTGTGATTGTATTGAATTTTTTTTTAGAGTTTTAAAGTACAGTTTAAATTTCAGAAGCAAGTAACCATACAGCACACAAATATAGAAATGTATTGTGCTGCATACATGCAGGTAGACATTAATTAGCTATATTGGAAAAGGTCAAACACACATGTAGCCATTCATGCCATCTACAATACAGGCATACACATAAAGACTTCAGCAGAAAAGGTTGGGGAACAGAAAGCAAAGCAGCATTCCCACATGTTGCAAGCCCACCATTCGGTCATTCCCACAGCCAAAGCAAAGTAGGACACTGTTGCAGTCCTGGTAGTTCCCTGGCCAGAGCATGGCTCAGTCACTCCCTCAACACCCAATGTTGAGACAATTCAGGGGCTTAAATCCCAAACTCTTGTTTCCTTGGACACACCTTGCACACAAACAAAAGGGAGGAGAAGCTGAGAGGAGAAGCCACACAGCTCAGCAAGTAAACTGATGCACCAACAAGGAGGGAAAACAAGGGTAGAATAGTGGCTGTCAGAACAGATGCAGATACTCAGTTGCTCCATGAAGCAGAGGAATTAGAGAGACAGAGCAGGAAGGTAATTCCATTTCAGTGTGAAGCAGGTCTGCTCTCAGTCACTTCCTCTGCGGGGACACACACATACACAGCGCACAAGACCTTCACATGTGCCGCAAACGTTTGTGTGACATAGATCACACACCCTGATATGGGATAGGTTTTCATTCTGTCCGTCTTTACGTCCAGCACCAAATCTCGAACAAGAAGCTTCGACTATGTGTGTCTGCATGGAGGCGAGGTAGTGAGACCGAGTGCATGCATGTGTGTATGCATTCTAGAGGAGAAGAAAGAGAGGAGGAGAAAAGCAAATGCTTTCCAAGACTTCACTGTGTGGTAAAGTGCTGAAGTAACAAATGACTACATGGGCAGACAAGACAGAAGAGAGGAGAGCCAACAATCTCCAGAACTCCCATTTGACTTCTGTTTAATTACTCTCCATTTGAAATTACACGTTCTTGGATGTGGTATGGGGATTTTGACTAAACTAAC